AAAAACAAATTGCATATTCTCTTTAGCCCTGGGAATCTAACCTGGTAAGCAGTCTTACCTTTGCATTTTTATGAAGATCTCTGGACGGACAGTGTTTGCTAAACTTTTTCCAGACCAAATAAATGACTTTTCACTGGGACAAGGACTCTTCATTAATTTCCCAAATAAAAATATCTTGCAGGTTTTAAGTAAGAATCACGCGTATTAAAAGTTTAACTACAAGATGTTCTTCTATGGTGTCATTCTCTTAAAATAGAACCCTCCCAAAATCTCCTAAAAATAAGTCTGCATAGTTTCATTTCATTTTCTAAGACGGAGATAAACATATCAAAACAAACACTTAGCTTCTTTTCTAAAGAGTCTCTGCTACATAGGGCTCACAGATCAAAGTTTAAAAGGGCTAATTTCTTCACTTCGTAGGTCGATGACACAGCTTTGAAAAAGAGGAAAAACAGTCCCCCTAGTGTACTGCTGCTGTAGGAAGAGGAAGTATATTCGTCGAGAATCACTGACGAAGACAGTACTGCCAAAGGAAATTACAAAACAGCATTTTGGCAACACGGGCCAAGCAGAAGACAGATTCCTGACACATGGCCGTAACTGGCCCTTTGGGGACTTACTCCAAAAGGTGACTGAGGCCAAAATTACAAGCCAACGTGGAATTATCACAACTTAGTAGCAGTTAAAACAGCATTTTCTTAATACAGTATGTTGGAAAGGAGCTGGATGCATGAATCTAAAGAACTAGAACAGGGAGGACATCAACAGGCATTATGTGGCAGGTGGGCCCTCATCTTTTTACCCTGGGAAGAAGCTGTAAGAGCCCACATTCTCACATGAAACACAACACACTCTCTTACAGACTTACCTCCACAGCAGCAGCAGCAGCAGCAGAGGTCGTCACACACACACACACACACACACACACACACACACACACACAAGATCCTACATTTGTGAAACTGTGAGAACGAGCACAGAAACTCATGACTGCCTAATATAACCATGTTCTAACCCCCCCGGGAGATGCAGGTGTGTGGGGTGTGAGTGGGCAAAGAGGGATAAATAGACCGAAAACCCTGGAGTCCTAGAGGTCTGTCCCACGACAGAAGGACCCGAGACAACATACCAGTTTAATTATGGGTGGTGCAGCGCCAAGCAAGCTGAGTCCGAATTAAAGGAAATGTAACCTTTTCCCCTCTTAACCACATCTGACTGTTCGTTTTTTACTTTAATGCCTGAGGTAAGGGAACCTGTGAGATAGCCATCACCTTTCTCTCTGGCACAATATGCATCTGACAAACCTAAGTTAACCAAGAACTTCCTCCTTTTGTTTAAACTCTTTCTGCCACCTTTATCACTTCATAGTTCCCCAGGACCCATACTGATAGACACGGGGTGGCTGTACAAACGTGATCAACTCACCCAGCCTGCATCAGTATTCATGTCTTTCTGATGCTAAACTAATAACCAAGACATTTTTAGATTGAGAGGCAAATACGCTTTTCAGGAAAACATCATCTACTTATGTAAGACTACTTATTACTTAGTAAAAAGGAAAAAAAAAAACTTTAGAATAGGTCGATTTAAAGAAATAGTGTGCAGAACTGCAGCTACTACCTCTCCACTAACCAGCTGTGTGATCTTAGAGAAGTCCTTACCTTGAAGAATCATGTTCTTCACCTATAAAATAAGGGAGCTGAACTATCTCAGCAAACCTCATCCTGGCTGTACATTAGAATAACCCGAGAAACTTAAAAAACAAAAACAAAACAGAACACAAAAGAAACACCAATGCTAAGCCGGAGACCAAACCAATTAAAACCGATTCTCTGGGTACTGGTAGTTTTTAAAAGCTCCCAGGCGATTCTAATATGCAACCAGGGCTGCAGACTGCTAGTCCTGATTCTGATCTCCAAGGCCTCTTTCGTAATTCGTTTATTCTCTAATCTTAGGGTGATAATTCTGGTGACAGGATCTCATAATGCAATAGCCCAAAAACCCACAAAAGAAGTAAGGTGTAAGCCTGCATTCTGTGCCTATGTGCACACAGGACTAAGAGAAGTCAACCTGACTTCTAGACATTTTAAGAAGTTTAAAACCCTAATGCATAGCTCAGAATGAAAGCAGTGTGGTTTAAATGTACATGCGTGTTCTCAAAATGACTAATCATGATAGGAATCGACTCCTGAAACTTGGACGCCTGGAAATGGGTCACAATTAGCTCCTGACCTCTCCCTTTTCCCTCTTCTTCCACCCCCACTAAACCACAAGCGCGCGCGCGCGCGCACACACACACACACACACATACACACAAAGGTTGGCTATTAGTCATAATCGGAATATGAAACCAGCCCCAGTTTCAAAGAGCTTTCTCCATCATCAAAGATTTGGAAGTCCCTGCATGGGTGCATCTTTTGATGAAGGTCATCTTACAAAAACTCTTTAAATTATATCTCCATAGTCTTCAAGGATTAGTTGCCATGTGATACTCAGAAATAGAACTAACGTAAAATCTTATTACATAAAATATAGGAATATTTTACTTAATGTCCTGTATTAAACACATTAAAACTTGAGTTTGAATTTACAATATTTCACAAGTCTTAGAGATGAAATGGAAACTAATTTAACATCCTATGTTGGCTATATTTCAACAAAAAAAAAAAAAAGAAAGAGAGAGAGAAAGAGAGAAATGAGATAGCAGAGAAGGAAAAAGAAACCATGAGACAGAAAATGGTTAAGGTCATAAAACCATGAAGTTTATGATGAGGCCTAAAATCTCTACTGGAAGTCCTGCAAGCTACATGAAAATATAACTAACCGAGTTACATTTCAAGGCGACTTTTGATACTACTTTCTCACCTAGATGCTAAAAAAAAAAAAAAAAAAAAAAAAAAAAAAAGATGTTATTTAACTCTAAATACAATAACAAGAGATGTTATTTGCAAGATTATGAACTACTTGCATACACTTAAAAATCAGAGGAAAAGTGAAAACCCCTCCAACATTAACTTTATAAGTTAGCTAACTTTTAACTAGCAGTTCTCTGCAGCAAACTCAAAATATACAGGACTAATCTCAAGTTGAGAAATTTGAAAAATATTCCAAAGCCCTATATCCATTTTCTTAGATCCTGCAACTCCCCCCTTTCTGATGCTGTACCTTGAGATTAACCCTTGCTATTCATTTTGAAACTCCGTTTTAAAAGATATCACAGTAGCACTTCCTCGAAATGCTATTCACTCTCAAGCTTTCTGTAAATGGCCCTCATACCACACAACCGGCATTCCTTTGCAAAGCTGTAAAATCAGAGCAAATGTAAGATTCATAATGTCAGCATTTATTAAAGGAAAGGGGACAGATATTTGGAATAATTTTAAAGCACAGTTTTGCTTTTAAAGTATCTCAGCAAGTCCTCTCCAATACTAGCCAATACGAAATTTTAAAAAACCAAAACAGATACTTTGTAAGGGTTTTGTTTTGGGTGTTGTTTTGTTTTTTTTTTAAGGAAATGAAGACAATCCACAAAATTCTTTAGTTTTTTAACATATAGGTTCCTCTCCAGTGCTCCACCAAGATTAAACTATTCTTACTGAATACACCTACTAGAACCCAAGAAGATACAGAACTCCCCAAAGACAGTAAGGAAAGGACAAAATGAGGAAGGAACTGCCTAATTAAAAAAAAAAAAAAAAGCTAACTTGCAAAGAGAAGCAACTGATAAGCCATATGTATCTCCAACTGCAAGCACCCTTCTGCCTGGTACTGACACATTCACGTCTTGGGGAAAGAGGCCAGGAGGATGAGGTGCCAGGAAGAGCAAAGCAGCTGGGTATCAGCAGCCCAGCAGGGGCACAGGAGTTAATCTGTTTGGATGCCCAACTGCAGGAAGTCATTACATCATAGGCCTTTCCACACCTCTCTCCCTACCACGTGTCCAGTGCCCCGAGAGGCTGAAAAGGAACAGTAGAGAGCCTCTCTTCTGGCTCATTTATAGGCAGAAGCCATTATGACCCAGCCCCGCCACCACACCTCCCTCCCTCCCAAAGGCCTAGGTGAAGCTCCAGGCCTCAGCCCTCCACACCTGGACCGGGCCTCAAACAGCGCCGGAGTCCAGGCCTCGGCGGGAGCAGCAGGTGTGGCCAGTCCTCCTTCAGGTGGCAGGGCTGGCCCGCTCCGGGACTCGAAACATCCCAAGTTGGGGGGCGGGGGGGGGGGTGCAGGTTTACTGCAGAAACATCTCTAAGGAGTAAAGGTGTCCACACAGGCAACCGAAAGAAAGAAAGAAAGAAAGAAAGGCAGCCAGGGGAGGGAAAAAAAAAAAAAAAAGGTTTGCAACCACTGCTCTTTTTAATGGGATCGCTGTGCCTGCGGGAACCAACACCCACAAGCCAGAAACTTCGACGCAAGGGGTTTTTTTTTTCTCATGCAGCTCTAACGACGACGACCATGCACTGCAAAGCACAAATCCATGCCCTTCCCCGGAGGAGCCCCAAGCACTCCCCCACGTCCTCTCACTGCACCCGCGGGGCCTTCCCCGCATCCCCACGACGGTGATTCCTGCTTCGAAGTTGGCCGCAGGCAGACCTACCTCCTCGGTGCCGTCCCGGGGATCCAGCAAAGGCTCTGCCGTCCGCCGGTCCTTCCCTCGCCGGCATCCCTTGCCCCCTCTCCTCCTCCTCCTCCTCCTCCTCCTCCTCCTCCTCACCTGGCCATGCCCGAGGCCTCCCCGGGGCGGGGGGGGGGGGCGCCTCCTTTCCCCGCCCCACCCTCCGCGGCCGACCCCAGGTTCCCCTCCTCCGGGGAGGGGAGGAGAGGGGAGGGGAGGGGAGGGGAGGGGGAAGGGGGTCACACGGGTTCCCCCGAAACCTCACAGCGGAGGCTCCCGCTGCCAACCCCTCCCGGCGCCCGCGGGCGCGCTCCGCGGGATGCAGGCGCGCGTCGCCCTGCGCAGGAGGCCCGGCGGGTCCGGCCGCCCGCCCGAGGTGGGTACGCACCTTCCACCCCGCCGAGCTGTTGCTGTCGCCCTTATCCTTGAAGTAGGGCACGCAGCGCACCATCCACTCGTAGATCTGGGACAGAGTGAGCCGTTTGTCGGGCGAGCTCTCGATGGCGCGAGTGATGAGGTCGGCGTAGGACAGGTTGCCCCAGGCGTTCCGCCGCGACGAGCACTTCCTCGGCTGCCCCGAGCCCCCGGCCGCCCCCGGCTGCGGCGGGGCCGGCGCCTGCGGAGGCTGCGGCGGCGCCTGCGTCCCCCCGCTCGGCGCGCCCGCCGCGGGGCCCGGCCCGGCCCCGGGGTCCTGCCCCCCGGGCGCCCGCAGCCGGGCCGCGTCTTCGAGGAGCAGCCCGGAGCCCAGCGCGCCGCCCCCGCCGCCGCCGCCGCCGCCGCCGAGCGCCATGGCCGAGCCGGCCCTACCGCTGCCGTCCTCGTCGTCGTCGTCGTCGTCCTCCTCGGGGATCATCGAGTCGGCGGCCGTCTCCCCCGAGGGCTTGGCCGGGCTCCCCTGCAGCTCTGGCCTCTGCAGGGGCCACGTACAGGAGCGCGGCCGGCTCTGGGGCTCGAACTCGGGGTCCAGCTCCACTTCGAGCGGGGACAGCGGGCCCGGGGAGGCCGGCGCCTCTGCCATCTTCCCCGCCCGCCCGCCCGCCCGCCCGCGGCTCGGGCTCTCGGGCTCTCGGCTCTCGGGCCCTCGCGCTCCGCTCTCGCGCCGGGGCGGGGTGCGGCGGGGGAGGCCCGGGGGCGCCGCGGAGGCTCCGCGGAGGCTCGGGCTCCCGGGAGCCGCTGCCGCTCCTGCCGCCGCTCCTGCCGCCGCCTGGGGAAGCACGGAGGAGAGAGTTGGTTACCCCGGGCGGCAGCCCAGCCCTCGGCCCCTCGGCCCCTCGGCCCCTCCGCGCCCGCCGCCGCCTCCCGGGCACAGGCAGACCTGGAGACGTGCGTCCCGCGAACCTGGCGCAGCAGACACCGCCCCCTGCCAGGCCGCGGGGAGCCGGGAGCGAATGGACGCGCTCGCGCGGGGCAGCCCCCTCCCCCCCCCCCCCGCCCCGCCGCCGCCGGGGCCGCCGGCTCGGCAGGTCTCTCCCGGGCGAGGTGGCGGGGCGGGGAGGCAGGGGGAGGGGCGGGGCGGGGGAGGGGCGCGGGCCGCGCCTTTAAAGCGGGCAGCGGCCGGGGCTGGCGCAGCCGAGCCGCGGTCGGAGCCCGGGCGGGCGTGCGTTTGTTTATGTTTCGCTCGGGCCCCGCGCGGGCGCTTCCCGCGGCGCCTTCCGCTCCGCCCCGCGCCCCGCGCCCCCGGGCCCGCCGCCCCCGCGCCCCCCGCGGACTCCGCTCTCCGCGCCCGGGGGCCCGGGCCCCGGGGCCGGGGGCCGGCGCGGGGCCAGGAGGACGGACGTGGGTCCGGGCGCGGACGGGCTCTTGTCACTTCCAGAAAAAAAAAAAGAAAAAAAAAAAAAAAGACCAGACGGGAAGCGAGGAGGGGGGGATCGGGGGTGGGGGTAGGAGGGGCGGGGCGGGGCGGGGCGGGGGGGCAAGCAGCTCGGCGGGTGTTTGCAAGGGGTCGAGCCAAGCGGGCGCGCGCGACCACTTTGGGGTTTTGTGTGCTCTGGGTTGCGGGCGGGCGTTGGACCCTCCGCCACCCCCCACCCCCCTTCCCGGGGAAGGACAGGGGGAGGGGGCGAGTCGGGACGTAAATCTTCCAACAGGTCAGGAAGCGCCAAGTCTCCCGGGCTGCCAGAAAACCCGGACCCGCGCGTTCATCACCTCCTTGCTCCCGCTGCTGCCATCTTGACAGTTTTCCCCCCTTCACTCAAGTCCTTTAAAAACACTAGCGGGAGGGAAAGGGGGGCGCGCACACCGAGTCACGGGGAGGGAAAAGGGAAGCGCCTGGCCCGGCTCGGAAGCAGATCCGGAGTCACCGGGAAGGCGACCGCCCCGCTGCACGGCTCCGGCGCCTACCTCGGTTGCTTCCCTTCAGGGACGAGGCGGGAGGACGCACGACTCCGCGCGGGCCCGGGGCGCGGCGAGGAGGGGGCGCGCAGCCCCGGCCACCGAGAGGCGCTCCGGCCGCCGCCGCCGCCGCCGCAGCCGCAGCCCGCCCGAGGACCCGCCTGTCAGCCTGCGCGCCGCCGCCTGGCACATTCCTCCTCCTCCTCCTCCTCCTCCTCCTCCTCCTCCCCTGCACGAGCTGGGCGGCCGCGGCGGCAGCACAAAGTTATAGACACACGCAGGGCGCCTCAACCTAGGCTGACGGCGGGCGGGCGGGTCCCCGCCCAGGGGGAGGGCTGGGCGGCGGGCCGGGTGTGCTGGGTGCGCGCGTGCGTGCGTGTGTGTGTGGCCGTGTGCTCGCGCGCGCCTGCGCGGCCGGGCTCCGCGGGGCTGCGGGCGTGGGTGTCGGGGAGCGCGCGGCGGGCCGGGACGGGCGAGGCGGGCTCCCGCCGCCCCCGCCGCCCCCGCCGCCCCCGCCGCCCCCGCCGCCGGGCTCCTCCTCCTCCTCCTCCCTCCCGGGAGCCTCAACGACAACAAAGCGCGGCGCTGGGCCCCCGGAGAAGGAGGGGGCGGCGGAGCCCCGGACGCCCGGCCGGCGCCGGCGCGTGGCCACGGAGCCTCGGGGCAGGGCGCCTGGCACCGGGGAGTCCCCGGCGGGCGCGTCCGTGCGCGCGGCTCTGCGGCCGCCCCGCTGTCCGGGGTCCCCGCTAGAATCGGACACCGCGCAACCGCCGAGATAAGGGCCGCCCGCAGATCGCGGGGAGCAGGACCACGGCGAGCACACGCTGCCGCGCGGAGGCGGCGGGGCCCCCGGGGCTCCGATGCACCCCAGGATGCCCTGGGGTTCCGCCGGGCACCCCGAGCCTTGCAGCCGAGCCCCCGCCCTCGCAGCTCCCTCCCAGACGCGGCGGGGTCTCACTTTTCGTGGATTTCATCGCAGATGCGGGGGACGGGGGGGGGGAGAAGTGTAACTAACTCAGGAGAAACGCACATAAGCGCCGATTTCGAGCAATTGTGAATGGGAAACAATTGGATCCTAACTTTGCAAATGACTCCAGAACGGCTCGTTGGGCTTTTTTTTCTTTTTTTTTTTTTGGAGAAGATACTTCTTTAGGTTTAGAAAAGCATCTCCACAAGTCCTCACCCTACTACCGTCGCTGCCTATAAATTGTTCGTTTGTGCACCAAGAATGCACTACGTGCGACACGCGCACCGAAAGTCTGTTCGCTCTGCTCCATAAATACCTTCCTCCCCCCCCCACTCCCCCCACCCCGCCCCTTAAATCCTTCTAAGTCCCTGGCGACATCTCGGGGTCTGGAGCTCGCTCCACAGCAACCCAATACACAAAAAGGTCCAGCCCCGGGCGCTCAGGAGTCCGCCCACCCCGCGCACTCCAGGCTCCGGGCTTTGCGCAGGGCCCGCCACCCCAGTGACGCGCCGCCCCGCCCCTGCACCAAGCTAGTTCGACGCGTACGAACAGATGATGTCATTGTGGCCCCACGCGCGCGACCGCGGAGCCCTGCGCCGCGTCCCCATTCGCTGCGCCGCCTACTCGTCAAGCCACGCCGCGCGCTGACTGGCCGCGGCCACCAGTCTCCAGGCCCAGACGCCCCTCTCCGCCCCCCGCCCCCGCCCCCCCAGCAAATAATAAACAATCGAGTAAAATTCTAAGGAAGAAAGGAGGGGAGGGAGGAGAGGGGGAGAGGGCGGACCGGGAGCCAGTCCTCCGCGCGCCGCGGGAGAGTGGGGGGCGGGGGGGACTAAGGAGGGCCGGGCGGGGGGGGGGGAGGGGAGCCGACCTGGGGCGACGGGCGCTGCCGCGACGTGGCGGTGCCGGGGGAGGAAAGTTGGAGAGCACCGTGCGGGGCGCGCCGGCGGAGGGGGCGGGCGCTAGGGCCCCGCGGCGGCAGGGCCGCGCAGGGGGGAGGCGGGGGAGCCACGCGGGAGCGGCGCGGGCGGAGCCGCCAGACACGTGCGGGAGGAGCGCGGGCGCGCGCGGGCTGGCTCGCCGGGGGCGCGCGGTGCGGTGGCCGCGCGCGCTTGTTTACCAGCGCACGTGGGTGTTATTTTTAAATGGCTTGTGGCGCTGGCGGCGCGGCGGGGCGGCGCGCGCTGGCGGGGGGACGCGGGGGGACGCGGGGGGACGGGCGGGACGGGCGGGCCCGCGCCACGGCCTCTCCGGGCGCTGCGCGCTTCCCGCCGAGCGGCCGCCGCGGCCCGGGAGCCCGAGAGCAGGTTTGCGCGCGCTGCCCGAGCCTCTGCCGGGACACGAGCTCCCGCCGCCGAGCGCCGGCCTCGGCTCCCCGTGCCCATTCCGGGAACAAAGCCACCTCTTTCTCTCCACCACCGCCCTCCCCCCCCCCCCGGGGGCCGCACCAGGCCGGGTTCCGCGGCCACGCACTGCCTCCCTGGCACACTCCACCCTGGCCGCGGGGTAGACTGCTGTCACCTTGCGTAGTTCGTGACCTCGCTACCTTGCTACCTTGCTCCGAAGGTCCCCCAGCCCTTATGCGCCCGGCACTTGGGTGGGCCTGCAGCTCTCCCAGGTGCAAAGCTTTTGCTGCCCTGGCATGTCTTTGGAAGGGAACTCTGGGAAAGGGGGGCTCTGACTGCTTCCTGGGGTGGCTCCTGTGCTTGCTGCTCGCTCGGCTCATCTCTCGTGGTGGGCCTGCCCTTCCGCGAAGCCCTGAGTTTGCATTTGGTTTATAGCGTGTGGCAATGTGGACGGTGACACAGGACCACAGTACTCAACTGCAGGTGTTCATGGGGCGTGGGAAGGGTGGATCGGAGCTTCAAAGTGCACATGGGGGGGTGCCTTCGGGCATATTAGTGGGAGTCGTGTTCAGCTTGGCGGGAGGAACCCGGAGGCCAGATCACCGGTGCTTTGCACCGTGATACAGCATAAAATCCAGAGAACTTTCAGGTGCTCCTTCTTAACACTTCTAACACCCTGTAAAAGCAACGGGCAGGCATTGTCCTCTCTGAATCTAAGCAATCCTTTATCATTAAAATGCAGACATGCAGATTTAGAAAGGGTGCCTCTACACTAGCTGGGCTCTGGGACGTTAGGTTTTCACTATGAACCTGTTGAGTGTCCCTTTACAGAATGCATATCCCCCTCCAAGGGCATTCCAAAAAAATGGAAGAGTTAAAGATTCAGTAGACTGTGACCCTCTTGGTGAGGAATGGGGGTTGGGGACGTGAGACAGCTATATCCCTCAAAGAGCTTACAGCCGTGGGGGAAAAAAAAAACATTTAAAAAGTTCCGGATTTCAAGAGTTGAAAAGCAGTACAAGACAAAAACACACGAGGTCACGCATAGTGAATTGAGGATCAAAACTTCAAATGGAAATACAAGAACAACAAAAACTTCAAATGGCAGTGACTATAAACATTCAGCTTGGTAAATGTGCATCATACCCAGTAGAATTTATCCTTGTAATTTGTCCCTATGGGCAAACCTTTGAAAACTAAGAGGTTGAACCTCAGTAACTTGTATTTTTAGCCTGCAATTGCTGTGACCTTTGCTTTCCCCTCCAAGGCCTCCATGGTCCTTCGTTTCTGCTGTCCACCTTTTTTTCCCTAAACGTTTTAGTACCTATAATCCCCAAGTTACAATTGTACGATTTAGGATTTTAGGACTTTTTGACTTTATGATGGTGCACAAGCAATTCATGTTCAATAGAAATCCTACTTACATTTCAAATGTTAATCTATGCCCCCTCAGCCCCCTCTCCCCACAGCAATAGTGATGCCGGAACGCAGCAGTGAGCCACAGCTCCCAGCCAGCCACCTGATTACAGGTGTTAGCAACCGATATACTTAGAACCATTCCGTACCCATAGGGTCATTCTGTGGTTACTTTCAGTACAGTATTCAATAAATTACATGAGATAGTCAACATTTTATTATAAGACAGGTTTGTGTTAAATGATTTTGCCCAACTGTAGGCCAATACAAGTGTTCTGAGCATGTTTAAGTTCGGCTAGGCTAAGCTATGACATTTAACAGGTCAGGTGTATCAAAGACGTTTTCAACTTAACAATATTTTCAACATATGCTGGTTTTTTCCAGGACATAATCCTATCATCAGTCAAGGAAGGTGTGTATCGGAAAGCTGAGTGAGTTATGGTTGTTGATTAAAAAGGAATGCCAACATTACCTTTGTGGTAGAATTTTTGGTCAAAGCATTTCTCACTTCTTAATTTACTTCTTGTTTATTTTACAAATGACTTAAGGTGGTGATTACTTCATTTTGTAAATTCAGTCACTGGAGAAACAAAACTTTTTTTTTTTTTTTTTTTTTTTTTTTTTACCTGGGAGTGCCTGGGTGGCTTAGTCAGTTAAGTGTCTGCCTTCAGCTCAGGTCATGATCCCCGGGTCCTGAGATCCAGCTCCGCGTTGGATCCCTGCTCTGCGGAAGGCATCTGCTTCTCCCTCTGTGCCCACCCCCAGCTCGGGCTCTCTCTTGCTCTGCGCTTTCTCTCTCTCTCAAATAAATAAAATCTTTTTTTATTTTTTTTATTTTTTAAAGATTTTATTTATTTATTCATGAGAGACACAGAGAGAGAGAGAGGCAGAGACACAGGCAGAGGGAGAAGCAGGCCCCATGCAGGAAGCCCGACATGGAACTCGATCCTGGGCCTCCAGGATCACGCCCTGGGCCGAAGGCAGACACTAAACCACTGAGCCACCCAGGGATCCAATAAAATCTTTTTTAAAAGGAAAAAAAATTTACCTGAATAAGCTAAATAAATTCACCATTTCCAACATCAAATTGTGAGGCAATTTGTGGTCAATACCAGACCTAATTCTAAGAGGTGCACTAAGCACCTGTGTCCTTGCCCTATTCTCCTCACACCTAGGTTGGCTACAGACCCCAGAGCTCTGACCCCAGAGCCTAGATACTAGGGACTGAGCATGCTGTCAACAAAGTGCTCATTTCCCTCTACGATTGGCTTCAGCCATCTAACAATGCAGACGAAAACAAATGCAGTAGATGCCTCCAAACAAATATGTGAGCCAGCTGGAAAGAAAGAAGGACCCCCCCCCCAATATTCAGGTCTCTAGCTGCTCCCCACCCTTTATCTGACACCCCCGTTAGACCCTTCCTGTCTCCCCATTCTTCAGCAAACTACTCATAGGAAAAACATATTGAACGCTATGTACTAAAGAGCTTGAACTTTGGCTTTTCTTCCAGGCTGTTAAGGAGACAGCAGGCCCAAAATGGAGTTACTTATGCTAAATCCCACATCACAAACCAAGACCTCATACCTAACCTAATTGTAGTTTCAATTGGCCCCCGTCCCACCCCCAGGAGTGTAACCTTTAATCAAACAACATGGAATTACCTGGTCAGCCACTAATGAGATAACTTTCTAGTCCCCTTAGGAAGACAACCTTGTTTGAAACCATGCATTCTTTCCTAGTAATTTCCTTTGTCCAACCCCTTCCACATTTTTTTAAGATTTTATTTATTTATTCATTTAAGAGAGAGAGAGAGGTAGAGCATGAGCGGGGGGGGGGGGGGGCAGAGGGAGAAGCAGACTCCCCACTGATCAGGGAGCCTGATGTGGAACTCCATCCCAGGACCGCGGGGCTCCATCGCAGGACCCCAGGATCATGACCCCAGCTGAAGGCAGATGCTTAACTGACTGAGCCACCCAGGTGCCCTCTCTTCCACCTTTAAACACCTTTCCTTCTCTACAGCTTGGTGGAGCTCCTGCCTATTGCCAGATGGGATGCTGCTCAATGAATCATTTAACGAAGCCAATTTGATCTTCAAATTTACTCAACTGAATTTTTGTTATTTACAGGGCATCACTTGAGGCAGGTTTCATCACCACCCTCTCGGAGAACCTCTGGAGCTCCTGTCTTCTCTCCTCCTCTCTGCCCTCTTCAGGCATGACATACCCTGACAGACCTCCTCCCCAGGCACTATAGTGCCTGCCCTAGGAGTCATTGGGAGGACAACTATGTGTGTTTACAGCAGGGAAGAAGTAGGGGAGCCACAAAACAGTGAAGATTTACCTGAAAGGTCATTGCATAGAGAAGAGAAAATGGAAAGGAGTCTCTGTTTTGGTATTTTAAGGTAATGATGATAGCTAACCTTTGTCGCTTCCAGGCCCAGAACTAAGCACTTTATTTGCAGCACTTAAGCCCTCCCAAAGACCAGCCGAGGTAGATACAGTAATGCCAAATGACATGGGGTTTCAGAATTCAGGCTCTGAGGTTAAGTGTGATCCCCCCATTTACCAGCTGTGTGACTCTGGGCTGTTACTTAATCCTGGGCCTCAGTTCCTCATTCATGAAATGAGAGTAATACTTTCTGGGGTTGTTGGAAAGATTGGGTTAAATGAGATGAATCTACAGCATTTAGGCTTAGAATACTGGGAGGGAGATGCTTGTAATATACTGATGTCCAGGCTCCATCTTGGAGCAACTGAATCAGAATCTTTAAGAGTGTGGTCTGGTGTTAATATTTTTTTCTTAATGTTTGCCAAGTGAATCTGAGGCAGTGAAAATTGAGAACACTGAATTAGAGGTCTCTCTTCTTTACACTCCAGGGTCTGTCCTCAGCTATGACTATTGGCTTCTGCTCAAGAATGATGACACAGTTGTTAAGTATGTACAAGGGGGCACGTCCCATACCCATAATATCTCAGTTTGTCTCTAGAACAATCTAGCCCAGCAGGACTGTCCCTCTCATTTCACAGCATTTTTGCCCTGGGTCATACAATGAGTGGCAGGCCCAGAATTTTAACCAAAAGCTATATGAATCCATGGCCTGTGCTCCTTCCCCAACCCTGCAATGCTTCTCCAGCAGTATTTCTCTATGTGGGCCATTTAGCCTAGAGAAACAAAGCTGGAACCAGACAAACAAACATGACCCCAAGCACTAACTCCACCAGCCCAAAGCTGGTGTTCAGACAAATCTGCACCCATCAGATTTTTTATCAATTGGCAACATTTGAAAAGGAGGATATTTCACCTGAAAGTCAGATTTCTCTTCTTGAAAAATAAGATCTGGTAACACGTGGCAACAGTTAGCTTATATGTGCTCCCCACTTTACTCCATCATCATCAGGCTCTCTTCATTTGTCTCCTGATGGACTCTAGAGATTGGACTTAGCCACCCTAACTTATATCTCTTCTACTTCTACAGGAACATGGCAGGGTTGGCTCATTCCAGCTCATGAAAAACAACTGTGCACATCCCTTCCCAACTCTTTGTTCAGTGAATCAAATTGGTCCCTTGAAATGGACTGTTATGGGAGTTGTTACTCCACAGAAATTGGTCAACACTAACAATCAAGTCTTTTGTGGGTTTTGTTGTTTTCTTTTTCCTGAGAGTCAGTTTGCTAGCACACCATTGCACCCACTCCACTCGGCCACTGTCTGGTGTTCTGAAGACAAAGATTTGTTCTGAACAGAGAGGGAAGGAAACAAAAGCATTTGAGAAACTACTTCAATCCTGCTAAGCAATTGATGATACATGTCTAACCTCTTCTTTAAAAAAAAAAAAAAAAGAGATTTGTTTATTTTAGAGAGAGAGAGCACTCGAGCATGGGGATGAACGGAGGGTGAGGGAGAGAATCTCAAGAGACTCCCCACTGAGCGAGGAGCCTAACATAGTGCTTGACCCTGAGATCATGACCAGAGCCTAAAATCAGCAGTCAGATGCCTAACTGACTGAGCCACCCAGGCATCCAGCTGACCTTATTTTTAAAGTACTTCAATTTAATATGTGGAGTAGATGCCCAGAACAAACCTTTTGATGAAAACCAAAGTTGGATGAGTTTTTTACTATTTTTTTTAAATGAGTCATTGAGCTGGCAAGAAAGTGAAGAAAGAACAAAGTCCAAGTAAGACCCCCTAGTACGTGAGCTAGCTCCTAGAACTGTCAAACTGGAGTGTTCTTGAGCTTCCACACTGACAGGTGCAGTGATGGAGACACAGAAGATAAACACAAGATCATGAGCATAGTAAGAACCGATCCCAATTTAAACTGGCATGACCACTATGGAAAAACAGTAAAGAGGTTCCTCAGAACATTAAAAAGAGAACAACTGTGTGATCCAGCAATCTCGCTTCTGGAGGTCCAAAAGAAATGAAGTCACTATCTCAAAAAGATATCTGCACCTCCCCCATATTCATTGCAGCATAATTCACAATACCCAAGGCATATTTCTCAAGGCATATAAACAACCTAAGTGTCCACTGAAGGATAAAGGAATAAAGGAGACATGGTATATATACAATGGAATATTACTCAGCCATTGGAAAGAAGGGAGTCCTGCCATTTGTGACAACATGGATGAAACTTGAGGGCACTATGCTAAACAACAGAAGTCAGACAGAGAAAGGCTGTATTATATATATATATGTAGAATCTAAAAAAAAAACAAATTAATAGAAACAGAGCCAATTGGTGACAGCCAGGGGCTTTTTGTGAGGGAAGTGGAGAGTTGTTGATCAAGGGATACAAATTTTCAGTTATAAGATCAGTAAGTTCTGGGGATCTAATGTACAGCATGGTGACTATAGTTAACAGCACTGTATTTTATACTTGAAAGTTGCTGAAAGAGTAAATCTTAAATGTTCTCACCACACACACACACACACACACACACAGATAACTGAGGTGATGGATGGGTTAACTAACACAATGGTGATAATCATTGTACAATACGTACACATATCAAATAATCACATTATACCCCCTCTTTTAAAAAAAAATATGGAACGCTTCACAAACATGCATGTCACCTTTGCGCGGGAGCCATGCTAATTTTCTCTTGATCATTCCAATGTTAGTATAGTGCTGCCAAAGCGAGTACCATTATAATCTTAAACTTACACAATAGTGCATGTCAATTATACCTCAATAAAGTTGGAAGAAAATAATTTCATATAAAATAAAACATATTTTTTTAAAAAATCTCATAAAACTGGAATTCCGAAGAGCCAAAGTAAAGATGAATGTAAAGTTGATTTGCTGTGCAGACCAGAACCCCTGAAAAGTTTGCCTGTATTGATCCTGATGCTGGAGAAAAACAAAAAAGGGATATAATTTCTTCCTTGAGAGTTCATAACTACAGTGTGGTCTGCATGGAAGATTGTGATCTAAATTCAAGATACTATGGAATTTTTAAAACTAAATAAGTCCAAGTTTGGGGTGCTCCAAACAACTGGCAAAACAAACACAAATCCTCTCAGAAGATTATCTCGAACTTAGGCCCCAAAGAATACGCACAGATAAAGCTTCAAGAACAGAAGTTTACAATCAGAAAACAAAACAAATAAAGAAGCATGCCTGTATAAGTAAGAGCAAATAGAAACAAACAACAACAACAACGAAAAATAAGATCAGATACACAAAGATATGGAGTATTAGAATAAGCAGACACAGAAAATAAGTGTGTATATTATATTTCAAGAAATAAAAGAGAACAAGAATCCAAAATAAAAAAAGCTAAACAGATTTGCAATCAAAGTCCTTCTTATTTATTTTTAATTTCTTCTTCCCAAGTAGATTTTAGGTCCTCGAAGACATAGGGGCCTGGCTGAACACTTTACAGGCTGTGTTTGCCAGTTGAAGGAAGGAAGTCCTCCCCTCTTCTTTTGAAAGTCGGCAGTAAGAATTGAGTTTGGGACCACGGTTTTTAAAATCCTATTATAAGAGCCAACAAATCACTTCTAAAGGAGAATAAGACATGAAGGCAGAGTTAATGCAATGCTCCCAGCTGACCAGACTGGGGAGATGGCATTGGGCTAGTGGTCCATCCACTCCATTTCTCATCTTGGGAAAACTAGTCAAGTAAGCCTGGGCCCATGTCCACTTGTTAGAAAAAATCTATTTTAAATGCCTACTAATTGGGGATGCCTGGGTGGCTCGGTGGTCGAGCATCTACCTGGGGCTCTGGTCGTGATCCTGGGGTCCTGGGATTGAGTCCCACATCGGGTTCCCTGAAGGGAGCCTGCTTCTCCCTCTGCCTGTGTCTCTGCCTCTCTCTCTCCATGTCTCTCATAAGTAGATAAATAAAATATTTTTTTAAATAAATAAATAAATGCCTAGTGATTGGAATCTTAAATACAAATTACTTTAAAATACTGATGTGGTACTTTAAAGAAACCAAGGCCTTATGGAACCATTCATCACTGTATTACATCTACCTGCTGCAATTCGGCATGTCCACTAGAAAGTCAAGTTTTCTAGAAGAGTCTAATACTAAAACCCCCACCGAGTGTGTTTTAGGGTTCACGAGACATTAAATCTGATTATTGCCTCTCCTACATCTACAGCTGGAAGTGGAGCAAACATAGGGTACAGGAAGATGACAGGAAACATATGAAAGTTTGACAGATTTGGCAAGTCTGAGGTAGACAGCTTAAGGTTCTCAGACTAGCAAGGCGTGAGGCCTGCAGGTACATTGCAGCGAACCCTGGCAGAGAAAAGTACCGAGTAAGCTGCCTTCGTGGCCACATAAGGATGGTGTATTTGAGTTTGAATGTCATTCATCTGTCAAGTTCAGATGTCTTAGAAGAAAGTTTATCCTTTGTTGAAGGAATTTTCTCTCAAGTTCAGGTCCTGGTAGACCTTTCATGGCGGCCTGAGTAGGTGTCCCAGCGGCGTTAGTGGGACCCACTCTCTGAGTCTGCTCCCAGGCTCTCTGCCCACTCCAGGAAGCATTTGAGGGGGGTCTGGCCCAAGCACCTGGCTTCTCACCAGACAGGAAATTCTGATTGGGGTTCCATCCACTCCCCTCCCCGTGGTGGAAAACTCTCACCTTCACTCCTCTGCCCCTCTGGAGAGTTCTCCTCTAAGATCACGTTTCTGTGCCCTCTGAGGGGCTATTTGGGCTCATTTCTGGAGAGACTCCTGATGGGCCAACAAAATGGGTGACGGAATCAGTAACTGAGACGTATGTGAAGAAGAAGCGCCCAGGCCTCCAAACACGAGTCGCTTTATGAAAGCACAACACCTGAACCACCTCACACATTTGCACAGCAGTGAGCCCTTTTGCAACTTCAATTCTCAAATGTATAACGGGGGGCTTTTGTTTTTTCTTTTTTTTTTTCCACTCTTATAATGACTTTTATAAAATCTGTATTTTGGAAACAAATAAGGAAGCCAAGTGAATAATTCCATAAAAACCCCACAATCCCTAGGGTACCTGTCCTGGTTGGAGAACTAACCAATCCCTGTCACTTTGGGTCAGGCTTTCCTATTCACTATGGAAAGCGATGGAAAGCGAAACTCCCTATGGAGTTTGTAGTTTTGCCCACCAAGAAGGTGAGGATTGAGCCAACCCTCCTCCCCCTTTTTTTCACTTGTGCTATGAAACTGTGTTGTCCAAGAGTGGACCGGTTGTCACGACAACCAGCCTGAAGGGCGAGACCCACGCAGAGCCTAGAAATGGGAGAGACTGTGGCCTGTGCCTCCAGCCTTTCCCCAGCGCGCAGGCCACCGAGAGGGGAGTCCGACGGCCAAGGAAAGGACAGGGGTCTCGGGAACCAGTCTCAGCTGCCCCCAGATCTGATGACTCTGCGGGAAGTGCTGAAATCAAGTTTCTTCGCTGATGAGACAGTCACGGCTGGTCTGGGGAAAGCACAGATGGAAGAGCTCCATGAGGCTCAGTCTGCAAGAGGTCATGACCCTTTTTCCCTCCCCCTAAAAACTCAATATTATCAAGAAGTTGTTCTTTTTAGACTAATTGATCCCCAGGTGAACAATTAGACCTGCATTCCTTTCTCAAAAGTGTAAGAACTAGTGTATCTGTGTGTGTTGTGAGCGACTACTCCCCTGCTTTCTCATAGTTGTAGTATATTAATCCCAAAATCAGGCCAGTCAGAATTCTGACGTCGGTATTGCTTAACTTCTGGATTCAAGAAATACTCAGAAGATGAGAATGCCTGGAAAATCCCTTCTAGAAGTCCTTAATGTGGCCACGCCTAATGCTTTCATTCTCTCAGATTTAAAAAAAAAAAAAAAAGTTTATTAACCTTGAATTTTCGATTTATCCAGTATGAAATCAAGGCACTTAAAATATTTTATTTTATTTATTTATTTTTTAAACATCAATTCTTTTTTTTTTTTAGATTTTTTCATGAGAGAGAGAGAGAGAGAGGCAGAGACACAGGCAGAGGGAGAAGCAGGCTCCATGCAGGGAGCCTGACGTGGGACTCAATCCTGAGTCTCCAGGATCAGGCCCTGGGCTGAAGGCAGTGCTAAACCGCTGAGCCACTTAAAATATTTTAAAAGACACCTGTATTTTGTACTCGTCCTGTTTCTAGGAGGACGATATGCCTATCTTGTTTTTCAACATATACTTTTTCTTTTCCACTTTTTTGTTGAGAAGTAGAACATGCTTACAGAAACTCCCAGGAGAGTTTAGTTTATGTGTCAGTACAGTTTGATGAATGCTTGTTGAGAGAACATCATATAACACTCAGGTCAAGAAATAGAACATTACTAGCACCCTACAAATCCCTGGGGTGCCCTTCCCCATCAAAGCCCTCCTCTCTCTCCCTAAAAGTAATCATTTCTACTTTTTGGTAGTAATTTCTTTGCTTCTCTTTATAGCTTTCTACCTGTTTCCATCCCTAAACATAGTCCTTTAGTTTTGCCTGTTTTTAATCTTCGTATGAATTGGATTGCACCTCTTATGTGATCTTTTCTTTCTTTCTTTTTGTTTTGTTTCGTTTTTTTTTAAGTAGGCTCCATGCCCAATGTGGGGCTCAGACTCACTACCCTGAGATTAGGTGTCGCTCGCTCTAGCGACTGAGCCAGCCAGGTGCCCCATATGTGGTCTTTTCTGTGTTCTTTTGGATCTTTCTTCTCTCTCTCTCGATATTATGTTTGTAAGGTTCACCTATGTTGCTGTGTGCTGCCGAACTTTGTTCATCTTCATTGCCATATCGTCCGTTGTATGAATAGCTCTCTGTCTAGCTCTAATCTATATATAGTCCGTTTACCTATTCTAATGTTGATGACTCCCTGGGTTGTTTCCAGTCTAGTGCAATAGCAAACGTCGTTGTTCTGACGTCCCTAGGCCTGTGTGCATGAGTACAGTGTGTACCTCAGAGAGGAATTTCTGGGGCATAGGCATGTACATCTTCCACTTCGCGAATGCCGGGCTGTTCTCTGAAGGGGTTGTACCGTTTACACTCTTCCCAGCACTGATAAGTATGCTCCTTGTCCACATTCTCACTAGCGCTTGAAATTCTTGAACTGTTTAATTTTTTAATTTTCTTTTAGTGATGATGGATTTAAACAATTTACATTTAATTGAGATTTACTGAGCATCTGCTAAGAAGCAGTGCCTGTACTAGGAGCTTCTCTGTGTATTTAATCATCATTAAGTCACAACAGCCCTAGAAAGGAGATGATGTTCTCTCCATTTCATAAATGAGGAAAATGAAAACCACAAGCTGGAAGTTTCCCAGCAGAGGCCATGACAGAGCTGGGACTAGAACCCAGGTCTGGCTGGCTTACAAAGACCATATTCTCTCTTCACGTTCCTATGCAGTCTCCATCCCTACCCTCTGCTTTCACTCATTGGAATCTGGAAGACAGATGCTTGGGTTGGAAGTACGTTGCCTAGAGCCCACCTATGGCCCTCGCTGGGCGCCAGGCCCTGGCTCTGACCTCATACATACCTGCTTCAGCTCACAGAGTCCACCACCTGAAGGGAACATTACAGGATCTCATGTTGCACTGACCCAGCTGAACCACATTCCTCTTGTTATAAAGAATTCCTCTTAAACACTCTTTTAACCAGTTTATTCTGTTTTGTTTAATGCCCAGAAACCCACTTCCTTCTCCTTCAGCTCAGC